AGGAAGCCGTCGTCATCGAACTCGCGCTTCCGCCTGGCGATTGGCCGGAGGCCGCGGACTCGGACTTCGATCGCCGCGAAATCGGCGGGGGAGTTCTTTCAGAAGCCGAACACGGCGGTGGCTCGAAATTAAAGAGCTCGGACGCTACGCAGGCTTTAGTCTTCTTTTTCATTTTCCATGGTGCCATTTTTGCACAGTTATTCGAGCCACATGGCTGTGGCTCAACAAAGCGGTACCAACATGCCACCTTGGTAAATGGGAGCAAGGACCAAAAATGCGTAGCCAGAGCAGAAAGCCTTCCATTGGCGTTTTCGCCCCCAAAAGGAAAAATGAGAAATAATGTCCAGTAGTGAAATTGAATCCATTTAAACCCAACGGAAAACAAAAAATCTTAAACAAATACAAGTCAATGGAGAGCCAATGACATCAAACGTGTGCGTGTGTGTGTGTGTGTCGTTTTGAAGGTTGCCTCCCCCCCTTTTTGGTGGATTGAAAGGGAAACGGAAGCAGCACTTCCAAATGATGGGTCCCTGGTCTCATTCCTGATGGCAAAATCTGTAGTCTCCGGTCTAGGACCAAAGTACTGGAGCGTGGTGACTCTTGCCCGCAATTTCTCCAGGTTTCTTCTGCTCGTGTTTTTCCTCCATTTCCCCAAAGTCCAAAAACGCCCCGGAAAGAGGAGAAAGGCCATCTTGCTTGCTTCACAAATGGTTTGTCCTGGATTTGCGAGCCATTTCTCACTTCCGATCGAGTGGACTGGGCAACAAAAGTCGGAACTGGTTTATTTACCGCTAAAATGGTTTGGTTTTCGCTTTGAACCACCGTAAAAAGCGAACCCCCAAAAAAACACAACCCCGAATATGAGGCTCGTTAAACAGGCCCAATTATGTTTGTAGCTCGGAGTTCCTGGTAGCTCCTTAGCCCTTCTTTCAAGGCAAACAAACTTCTTGGATACAGCTCCCTGACAACCACCAGCACCAGCTAGTTTAGCATTGCGCTTTTTTTCGATCCCAAAACAAGGTTTGGTTTCGAAACATTCGCAGCGCCGCGAACCCATTGACTGTTGGTTTTGATAACCATGGCCATTTGGGAGCCGAACGGAATGTTGATCATCCCCCAACCCCCCCCCCCCCCCAAATCCATACCAAACATTCAAACCAGATCCCAGATCCCCATTTGCATTGGGAGCCGAACCAAATACCCATGACGCGTTCCCGACGCTCCCACCCGTTCGCCTCACCGGGGTGGGCGTCGCTGCCTTCTCTGGCGCGGGCGCAGCTTGCGCGGCTTTGTGAGGCGCCTGGGACTTGTTCTCCTTCCTGAGGCGCGAAGGAAAACTTTACCCGCCACGAGTAAGGCGGCTCTTCGGGTGGGTCATAAGCAAAACCCAGGCGTTCTTCGGGTGGGTAAATGGAACCAAGGACTAAAACCTGCGTGTTCCCAACCTATATTGGGTCGCAATCAAAACACGGTATTAAAATGGTCGCAATCCCAGAACCATGCAAGAATTGAGAAGGCGGATATCCGCAGCTATGTATGGCAAGGGGATTGTCCTAGCCTTCATCTACCCGAATCGGTTTTGACTGCGGCTCAGGTCTTGCTTTTCATAATGACTCCGGATTAAACCCCTGGGCTTCGCCAGTTGCGATCGCTTTTCAGCATGATTCATAGTCAACATTACGAGCCAGTTTCGTGCATCGGATCATTGGATCCAAAACTTTGGAATCCAAAACAACGCCCACCTCCAGGAACCACACACACAAACCAATGGTTGATTGGGCGGCAAGGCAGAGCATCACTTCTAAGGTGGTCCGGATGGACGAAATCCTGCACCGCCTGAGGAACCCTGGAAGGATGCTGTAAAACCAACAAACAACGGTTTCCCAGGGTTTCAAAGTGGTGCGAAATGGACTTCGTCCACCCACAGTGTTGTTTGTTGGGAATGCTGTGGCCCGGAAGAAGCGGATTTTTCGTCACAGGCTTTGCCGGTGCATCTCCTTCGGTGGTTTATGGATTCCCGTGAAAGTCGCATCGAAATGGGGGGAGGGGGCGCTGACCCTGCCTGGATCGCCAGTTGCGATCGCTTTTTGTCCATCCAAAACCAGCAATAGCTACTGAAACAAACGGCAACAAGGCTATCTAGATGGTTAGTTGACTTCCATGGTAGTGGGCCAGGGGGTAGTTAACTTGGTGTCCCTTTGGACAACACAGCCTTCGGCACCCAAATCGCTAATCATTCAAAGCCAGCTCCCACACGGTCTGAAAGCTCCTGGTGCCAATGGACAAAATGGTGTCTTTTTCGACGTTTGAGCTGGGTTCCAGCTGTGCAGCTGGCTTTAAGGGGAGGTTCAATGCCAAAACCGCCCATGAATGGGATGTGGATCACCCCAATCTTTGGCGCCAGAAAGATTGCACTATTGGATTGGAGCTGTTCGTGGGGGAGCCGGGGGGGGGGGGGAGGGCCTTTTTGCCCCAACACTTTCGTGGCTAACACCAAAAGTTGGGAGAACTTCGGCCGTTGGTCCAGCGAGGGTTCCAGAAAGAGAAGGGGCAAATACCTCTCGGAGCCTTTCCGGGGGTGTTTTCTGAGGCTACAACATGGCTGCGTTGTCTTGAATGACCCTTTTTTATGAATCAGAAAACCTGGGTGAGTGTCCAACCGCGTTTGATATCTTCCAATCAAACATTTCTCACAGTTAGTCTCTCTCATATCTCACTTCCTGAGTGGATTGGCCAGAGAAAGTCCTTAAACTGTTCGTCTCAGCCACTAAAATGGCAACCAAGCAAAAAGCAAATCCCCTACCATAGGGAGTCAGAGACCGGCTTCCACTAAAATGGCAACCACCCTAAAGTCCATAGGAGAACGGCTTGAACCCCGGGCCCCCCCTCACCCCCCCCGTGTTTGGTTACTGAACACTTGATCTCCTGCAACATTTGGCTCAAGGCCCCTTTTGTGTAACATTGCATCATTTGTGATCGCGAGACAAAAGAATCCTTGCAGGCCGCTTACAGGATTATCCACAAGACAGTTTAACAGGGACAATCCATCCTCCAATCATCCATAGTGGCATATTGGATTCTCTCCGGAACAGATCCAGGGACCAAATCAACGACCCCCACTACCACAAGGGTACCAGTTCCCTTCTGGGATAGGTTCCCCGGCAATTTGTGGTAGCGGAGCGGGTTTTCCGCAGAGATCCAAGGGAAGATGTCATCCGATGGAGAAGGCTTCATGGAAGCCTATTCAAGTATGGCAAAGCCACAAGGCTATACGGAGGAAACACTCAATTTATTGATGACCGCCAAGCAGCCGCCATCGTACGACGGAAAAGTCAGCTGGTTCAGGTATGAAGAACTCGTGGACGACTGGGTAACAATCACAACAGTGGAAGCATCCAAGAGAGGACTCACCGGAGATGCATACATGTACAAGGCAGTCCTCCAGAATGACCTTCTGCAAGATCCTGATGAAGGAGTCAACTACTTCAAGAACACGCTGAAGAAGTACTTTTTGAAAGGTGCGACCAACGTGTATCTGTACAGGCTCCTCAGTTTCTTCAACCATAGAAGGCAGGACCAAGAGTTCCTCATTTATACCTCAAAATTCGAAATCCTTCTTATGAGATTGAAGGCAGCATGGATGGACTTGATGCCAATGTTTACGGCACAGTCCCCAACATTTCGACAATCCGTGCAGGAAGCAAATGCAAGAACAATTGCTCGACATCAGCAAGCAGCCGGTGTTCGAGCACCGCCTCCAGCCCTGCTCAATGAGGATGATCCAGTAGTCCTCAGACAATATATCACGGGAATGCAGGACAGACAGCGGGACGCATTTCCCTTCACGGATAATCTCATTGCACAGTGTTTCATCATTCAGAGTGAACTGTCAGATCAGCAAAGAGAGAGACTGACAAGTGCAATGTCATTGAGAAACATCTCGCTAGAAAACTACTCCTATGAGATGCTGAAGACGCATTACCACGAACTCTTCATCACGACAAGGACATCCATCCAAGATCCATCCATCCGACCTCAAGGAGGCAACCGAAGCAACACATTCTTCATCATCGAACAAGGTGAATACGAAGGAGAAGAAGGCTTCTGGGTTGAGGATGAAGAAGGACTTGAAGGATTCATGTCAAACAACGATGAAGAGACGTTCTGGGTCCTCGAGGAGAACGATGCGTTCATAGCAAGAAGAGTGTCGGGGCGGAACTTCAAGTTCAAGAAGAGAAAAGGAAAAGAAAAATCAGGAAACAAAAAGGGCAGTCACCAACAAGGTGGCTTTAAACCCTTCAGAAAAAGCGGTTCTGGCGGAAAGGCCAATATGGCCAACGAAAACTATGATCCCTACGACCAGGCATATTGGGGAAAAGGCAAAGGAAAGAAGGGAAAGAAAGGAAAATCAAAATTCCAATATCCTTATGATGGAAACAAAGGTTATCCATCCTATGAGAGTGGCAAAGGAAAGAGCGGACAGGAGAAAGGAAAATCCAAGACGTTCGCAGCCACCGCAGAGAAAACGGAGGAGCAGCCCGCCATCCAGCAGACTGCACCATCCATAGAGCCTACCTATGCCGGTTGGACAGACCAAGACTGGGATCAATCATGGACATGGAACGAACATGGCTGGTACTCATCCCATGAGACATCCAGCACAGGACAAGCGCTAATGGCATTCCATGATGCATATGAGCATCCTGAGAAAAAGGCCATCCACGGGAAGCTGATCCAATCAGATACAGTTTCAGAACACAATCTGTCCGTAACAACAAATCACAGCCTTCTGGCAACAAAGCTGATGGCGCCTGTCATCAACCCTAAGCACAACCCGACCTATGCGATTCTGGACAATTGATGTACCAGATCTATGGGCAGCTGGCATGCAATCCAGCGTTTTACTCAGGCCATCGAACCAATGAAGGACCTCGTCTCCTATCAGTACATCCCGGCCAAGACCAAGTTCACTTTTGGCAAACGGAGAGACCGCCAAGGTAAATTGGACCCTGCATCTTCGGTATCACACAACTCCTGCACGCAGTACCAACATCGACGTCCTTGAACAAGGAACTGTACCGATCCTCCTCAGCATCAGTCAGATGCGGAACCTCTACATGACCATCGAGCACACACCTCAATGTGACAAGATCACATGCAAAGCCTTTGGCATGAATCGTCAAGCAGTTCCAGTATCCGGTACAGGACATGCACTCGTCGATCTCGCTGGAGTTGCAAGAGTGAAGGCACATGGAGAAATCGCTCACAAGGGCCTCACCAACTATGTCTATGACGATGATAACAGCATCAAGTTTCCCTCCGGGGATCTCACCAAGAGTGAAACTGTTTGTGCAGCAAAATCATCCGAGACAAAGGAGGACCTAGCAACTCCTAAGATCATTGGGTCTCAAAAGCAGGATTATTGGATCCTTGACAAGAAGAACAAGCAGCTCATCCGTGTGCACATCACGCCCCGAAAGGCGCTGTTCACACCAAATGAAATGGAGCCAAGGAGTGCCCAATCAATCCTGACAACATTGGCCGAGAACGTACTACGGAAATCATTGATGCATCCGTAGGTGGAGATCCAGACATCCTAGAAGACAATTGGAGACCTACATCCCAGGCAAATAAACCGATGATTAACCTGTGGATAGGTAAGACCATTTTCACCTTCGCGGACAATTCGCTTAAGGACGAAGAAGCAGGTTCAGGATCGGCAGCAGACAGGATCATCGACAAGAGGGGCCGGTCGACCATCGAGCCAGATCCTTTCGCACCATCCTCAGATGAACCAACATCGCTTCCGCTTGCCCTAGGCAGAATCCACAAGCGATTGTCAAATCCCGAAGAGTTGAAGAAGCTCCACCTACAGCATCATCACATGACGACAGATCAATTTCGATTTAGAACCCGCGCGCTCCATTTGCCGAAATCAACATTCGATCTATTTGACAAAATCCGAAGTGAGTGTGAAGTTTGCCAAGCGGCAAAACATGCACCGTCACGAAGCAAAACAAGTGGACTTCGAGCGGACACCTTTGGTGACATGACATTCATTGATCACTGTCAAGTTCCTCTTGGAACGGGAGAACACATCATTGTTTTTGTCATCCTGGATGGAGCAACAACATTGCTCACTGCAGAGGCAGTGGCAACTACGCAAGAAGTCGAGAACATCACTGTCCTCAGGAACTACTTTGACCAGTATCACTTGCAGCCCAAATCAGTTGTCGCAGATCAAGCCTTCATGACAGATACATGGGAACATTTCTATCAGTCCCTCGACATCACACCGATATCCTTGGGACCGAATACA